GATGATAAGCAAGATTTTCACTTTGTGGGTTTTCAAGAAGAAAACGCGGACACAATACCCTCAGAAATCCCTTGTAAACCTGTTGTATACCTGGACGGAACCGCTTCAGGACATACACCAACAGAACGTCATATTCGAAAAAAACAGATATTTTACTCACAAATGACTCGCTTGCATCAAAACAATAACCTGAATTAAAGCCGTCTTCTTCTCCGGCCAGTCGCTCACTCCCCGAGAGGGAAACAGAAGCAACGGGAAAAATTACTGTAAAACTTACTCTTTGCAAACATAAGGAAATAAATTGTAGAACAACTCACTTTTTTAGTTGTTTCCAAAGCATTCTTTTTTCGTATGATATAGAAAATTAATGAAAGAAATAGGCACAAACTTGCTAGCGTGCTTACCTATTTTCGATGTACTGATTACATACGCAGTGAGTACGACGTGCCTACAAAGCGCGCAATAAGCGAAGAACTATGGCGCAAGAATGGTTACTCCTTGTCCTCAAGGTACTTCCCAATTCATAGTAAGGAGAAGACAAATAAAAGGCTCGATGAAACAAGAATAAACGAGAATTTCTGTCAATACTCTTTCCTCTCGCTTGTCCGCCATTTTGTATGTTTTGAAAATGACCATCGCCACGGTGATCATGTTATGGTTGGTGACGTAGACTATTGTTTTCGCTTCTTCCAAAACTGGCATACTCCCGAACTGATTATTGCGGTTTTTCAGCTCTACAGGCTTAGACGACAAGGCTTGCTGGATAGCTTTTGTACCGCCACGGTTTTATAAAGAAATGATTTTCATGTATGCATGAATGTATATCCGCAGTTCCAGTACTACGACACAGACGCTGAATCTGAAGGATCGAACAACGATCAAGAATTTTACGGAAACGGCGACGTCGGCGTTGTATCGCCCGGTCCGGGATGGAGCAAGGACTACGGCAATAAAAATTTTGGACATTGCTTCCATTTTATCTGAGGTGAAAATTTTATTTTCATTTGTTTCAAATTAATAATTTTGTGTTGCCATACAAGAGAAAGCATAACAGATGCATTGTCACTGCCGGGTGACGTCAATTGACTGTTTCATACTAATTGACTGCAAGCAATACCTCACGTTTTCCGTAACAATTATGGCCCTAAAAGTAGAACATTTATAAAAGCAGTTTAAAAAATTATTTTATTAGAATTATAAAACAAATTCTTACAAATTAAACTAACAAAACAGCTCAAAACAACTTTTTACTGTAACTGCACTCGGTACAAGATGCGTCATTGCGCGCGCGATCTGAATGTATCGGATCCGTTGATCCGAGCAGTACTTTTCCGACTGTCCCGTAGCCAGGCGTGGAGGAGCGGGGTCCTTTTCAAGAAAGTTCCACCATAAAAAAATCGGAAGGGGACAAAAATTACCATGGTATGTCTGTTACAAAAGAAATTTCCTGTTAAAAAAAACCCCGCTACTTGTCAAAGAAATAAAGGCCGCGGTAGAGATCGCGTACTGTAAGATTACGCATGCGTTAATCTATTGTACCCAGATTTTTAGGGTGCATGCATATATGAGGGGCCACATGACCAGCCGATTGCATGCAGGCCCTTTTCCCACCTCTTTCGTTTTCTAAGGGAGACGCCCTGGGGACGACATTGTGACAGGGCTCTTTATTGCTCCTGCTTTTGTCTCCAGTAATAAGAACGGATCAAGAGACTATAAAGGGGACAGAAAGGCCATCCCCCATATACACCCTATTCCATAGGTAATTCGTCTCGAGTTATTTTTAGAATCGCGATAAAGTTACCTCGCGCGACGCGTGGATGTTTCGTGGAGGTTTCGCATGACCAAACGCCGTGCAAAACATGTCGGGCGAGAGGCAATGAAAGCGTAAAAAGATCGAGAGCATTCCTGAATATTGAAGCGAAATGAGTCG